GCCCAAATGACGCCGAGTTGGTAGGATAACCATCGCGTGCAAGCTTCTGCTGCATCAAGCACTTGAGATTGTCATTGATTCGGGATAGTGACCCCGCGTCAGGCCCATTCTCTTACCACTATACTAACGAGAATTCGTACAACCACAACTCGCCCAAACCAATAGCATGCCTTCTCCCAGATCCTCGGCGTGTAGATCCACGCCTTCACGGTAGCAGCCCCAAATTGTCGATGAAGCATTTGTGAAGGGACCGTGGTTTGTTGCTCGATGCCCTCGTCTTCGTAGAAATCTTTAAGCGGGTTAGTCCAGTAGCGATACAGCGGGAACGACGCAGACGGATACCGCGTGTGATCCCTTGCCTTTGCGTTTCCTTTGCGTCGTAATTGCCGCCTCCTGTGACGGGATCTTGAGAGTTGAGAGCCTCTAGGGTGTAACCGACCAAGTAGTAAATCGAACGCCTCCGATGACACCCGATTTGAGCTAATTAAGAACTTGACGACGTCAATGTGTGCTCTACGTGCGGCAATCCCTTACCATAATTGGCAGACAACACCATCGCACAGTGGCTATTTGGCCGTGAGAGGACTTTTCCGTCGATTTCTCAATCCTTATAATGGACCCACATCAGATACTTTTTGTACTCCTCTGGTTGGCTGAAATTGGGCCCCCAACGCTGCGGATGACACGCTTGCCATCAGGCACGACACTTCCACCGTCGTCAAAGGCATCACCACCGCTCACTTCGAAGCGATGAGGACGCTGACGACGACGACGATGACGACGAGAGTCCAGAGGATTCAGAGGAGGCTCGAACCGCTGAGGAGGCCTTGGAGGAGAAGCACGACAAGCTAACCACCGCACCGCATTGCCAAAACTGCATTCTCAACTTGTGTTCATCGCGAAGGGGAGTCGTTCTGCGTACTCATCCCAACCCCTCTATTGGTGGCCTCGCTTTGACGCCACGTCCCCAGTTTCAGTACGCACATGCATTGCGAACACAAGGTGTGTGCACACACCAAACTTCAGGTAATAGTCGCAAGGACAATGGCGGCACAGCGCGGAACGAGGCATGAGCGTGGAGTTCCAGCGTTCCAGCTGTGTAATTTGGGGACGGAACGCTGCGATAGCGTCAGTCGGTTGCGGGAGTCTCCCGCTACGATAATCAAAGAACTCCCAAACTCGAAAGAAAGCTCGCCGCGAGAAGAAGCAGCAGAAGTTGTAGGGAATGTAATGTGGGTCAGAATCGCTACGAGCTTCCACCAGAGTTTCCCCTGCCATTAATGTGCGCTCACAAATTGAAACTACAGCATCGAGTGAGTCGGGAAGATGCCAAATCCTACAGCATTATCGCTACGGATTACGCGGTGGTGCAAGTCACACAGGAATGTTGAGCTGTCCGAGATAAGTCCTTGAGGGCATGACATGCTACGCTAACACCCTCTCGGCAACCCCCTGTCACGCGTCAAGGCAAAGTGGCAATAGACAAATACAACTCTGTCATGGAAAGTTGACGGCGTGGTCTCGGATGTTTAGACGATACGTAGATGTAACGTCGAATCGGGTCGGTTGCTCGAGTGTTAACAACCGAGGGAAATGAAGCAACGGAGGATACGAAAACCCTCGCGTCCCACTGACGCCGCTACGCAGTGGCTCAGGGCTTGATGGGGGAGGGATAGCCGACAGTGGACAACTGCGTAGGATCTATCTACTAAAGTCCTGCTCAGACCGCGAACTACGCGTCATCGACCCGGACTGGAAGTGGTGCGCGCTGAGAACAAAGTCAGCGTGGTCGTGAGCCTGAACAGGGCGGGTGCTGCGGAGACGTACAGCGAGAGCGCGGCACAGAACACGGCGAGCGGCAAGTGGGGTCGAAACTTAATTGGCACTCCGGGAGCGCGCGCTGTGCATGTATGAAGGTGTCGTGAAATGCCTCGAATATCCATAAGTACACACTCCCAGAGGGAGCGGACCGGATCTCTGTACTGATATCCCCGATATTAAATTCCTCCAAATAAAGTGGCCCACTGAGCTGTCTACAAACTTTTGCCGCCGACTCAAACTCACTTTTCAATTCGCAAAAAGCCCAAACTGCTAACCTTCGCCATGTCCGACGCTTCCCTGATTGAACCCGAAGCGGTCTACGACGGATACCCGGGCGCGCTGCTGGACTACCGCTCCCACAATGATAAAGCTACAGTTACCTAACAGCAGCTTCTTGCGGCCCCACATATCGCTGAATCGGCTGATTGTCCATCCTCGCCGAGATGCTCCAGTGGCGAGTGGATATACGCGTTGCTTTGGCACATGGTGGTGACTGTAACAACCTCACGCCACCAGGTCCAGGCGACCCGCAAGACGAGCGAGGTCGCCGCAAATTTAAGTCCGGCTTCTGGACGCGAGCATCGCGTCCTGGAGGCACCTGAGCCTCAGTGTCAACATATCGTCTTCCACTAGTACATTTACAATCGTCTCAACGATGCTGCGGCCTACCTGTCTTCCCTCCCTCTCACCGATCTCATCATCGCCTTGGGAGCACGATGCCTACGTAGAAACTGAGCTCACCGATCCACGGAGCGCGACACTACGGTAGCTAACGATAACACAGACGACAGCCCATCCCCGACACCCGAGATAACACGACCATGAACCATTGAGGCCACTGCCAGACTCGAAGCAGCGACCTGGACGGGGTCGCTTTGGTGGACCCCTTTTGTGCTTTCGAGAGCGTGCTAGTGACCTGTGCTGATGCGGCATGCATGATAAATTCGCGGTAGATCGTTTGGCAGCGTTCATTTATCGCTGGCGCGCGTCCAAATGAGCGGCCAGGCAGACACACGCCACGAGGCCCCCACGAAGTCCACCAAATCGGAGAAATGGTCGACTGGCGAGGCAAGGCAATCGGTGCCAGCCGCCCTGCGCAGTCCGACAGAGCATTGGTGAGTCATGGCTCTGTACTCAACAGCATTTGACTTGTTGTCATGTGCCGATTGGAGTTTTCGAGATAAACGGGGTTAAAAGTTGACCATCGATATTTCGTACGTAAGTGGATAAATGAGCTAGCGACCTTTTTGACTTTTCAAAAAATTGATTTAGGTGTATCAGCAGAGACCAAGCTTCGAGCATGGAAGAGCTTGCGGCGTACGCTTCTGGAGGGACTATCACCGACAGGCCCACGCCAACACCACTGGACCCGCAACCAAGCAACGTGCCTCTCGACTCTGTGGCTTCAGTAGGCCAGATCGCCCGCGAACAAGACGTTGCTACTGACTACAACGACAGCAACAGCAATGCTAGTGAAGCTAGCGACAGTGACGAACTAGACGACAGCGGTGATGAAGATTACACGCCTGACTCGCAAGTTTGCAGCAACGACGACGAGCCCCTAACAGCGGAGAGCGAAGGAAGCGGCGCGGAGGATGCTGAGGATATAAGTATCTATTTGATGGACCACGAGATATTTTTGCTCGCTATTGTCTGTCAACTGCTTTGGCATCTTTTACGAAAACGACGGCGCACAGACCAACTATCTGTACGACGAAACGGCCAGTGGCAAAGGAAGTGACCAGATTAACTCTATTTTGGAGCATTTTCTGAGGACGAAAGTACTTGCGGAAGGCAAGACCCGCCTAACTGTCTACGCAGACAACTGCTCGGGCCAAAACAGGAACAACTATGTCATAAAGTTCTTGTTGGCGCAGGTAGACATGGGGCTGCTGAATCACGTCGACTACAAGTTCTTTGTATAGGGCCATACAAAGAACTCGTGCGACCGCGGGTTCGGCCACATCAGAAAGCATATCGCCAATATCGATTGCTGGACGGTGCCGCATGAAGTAGACGCGGTGAAGGCAGCTGCGTCAAACTCCGCGACGGTTCACATCCCACGTGGAAGCGAGCAGTTCAAGACGTACAAAGAGGTGTTGACGGAGTTATACAAGCGACTGGATGGAATACAACAATTCCAAATATTATCTATGGACTCGTCCGAGTTAGGGGTGGTTTCTTGCCAAAAAGGACCTGATGACGATGTTGTAAAGAAGAATTTGCGGCGGAAGGCTGACGGCGTGCTTACTACAAAGGAGAAGATTACTACGATGATGCAAGAATACGTGGACGTGCTGAACCTCCGAACGTAGAGAAACGCGAAACGATGTACTACAGCATCAGACCGTACGTGCCACATGAATCTCAAGACGACTCGCTGTATGCCAAGCCGAGTGAGCAGGAAGGACTTGATGCGAAAGCGGCGAAGCAGGCGCGTCAGGCTCACCGTGCAGCCATGGCTATGACTGCTAAAGGCAATCAAGACCGTCGTGGGCGAGAAGTGGGTGAGTCTGCCCAGGCTGAAGCACCTGCAAAGAAGCGTAAGACAGCAAAGTAGCTATGGCGTAGTGAGAACAGAGTCAATTGTTTTTGATAAAACGAAATGATACTTACCACCACCTACCATCATATTCTAAATTTCGACCAAAAAATAAAAAATATACACATGGGTACAATCCGTCACACTACCAAACAGTCAATTTGAAGCCCTTACAGCTAAAATTAGCTAAATCGGACGGTACTACTGGATTTCTTGAGCTATTTCGAACTAAATTTACCAAAAAACGTTTTTTTTATCTTTCGCTCTCCGATCGAGAGACCTTTTTTGGCGGCCGATTTCTCAAGAACGGCTGAATGGATTTTTCTGCTTCAGGGCTCAATGGCAAGAGGAAACACTCCTCTCTCGAATGGTATGCGTAAATCGCGATTCGTACTTAGGTTTATTAGTATTCTTTTGTATGACGCCGTCTCATTTGGAGTTCGAACGGAGTGCGGAGACGTCGCTTAAAAGAAGGCTCAAATCTTACCCTCCCTCCATCCCTTTGCTGGGTTTTCAGTCGGTACTACGCTCATTCAAGCACAGTACCTACATGTACCTGCCATCATGGCCTAATTAATTGAAACACATTTGACCCCATTTATTTGAAAAATACAATACCTGTATCTTGAACACCGCACTAACACAAGTAATATAAAAGTTGTACAGGCATCAATTCAAGTTTGGCCGTACGCAGCACCACCTTGCCGGGCACAGTTTTCGACTCCAGTTTCTCTAACGCCGGCAGAAGCTGGTCGAATGAATACACCGAGTCGATCACAGGTTTCAACGCACCAGACGACACTAAGTCTGACAGCTCCTTCAACTGCGCACCGCTTGCGTGTACCATAATCTCGCCAACGCACTTGGCGCCGAACTTTGCCGGACGCGGCTGTATCATGGGGTTGATGGTCACGAAACGACCCGTGTCCTTCTTGAGCACAGTCTGGGCATCGCGGTTCCACGCCTTCCGCTCTACACCACAGTCGTACACTACATCGATGGAGTGCTCATCCACGACGTCAACCCAGCTTTGCTTGGACGAGTCGATGACCTTCTCAGCGCCCAGTGACTGTACGAGAAGGTGGTCCTGACAGCTTTTGACCGTGGCGATCACGTGCGCACCCATGGCGCGCGCCAACTGGACGGCCGCCAATCCCGTCGCGGTGGAGCCACCCAAGATGAGGACACGATCGCCCGTCTTAAGGTTGGCGTGTTCATGCAACGCCTGATAGCTGGTGAGCGCGGCGTCCGAGATGCTAGCTGCCTCCTCGAAGGTGATGTTGTTGGGTTTGAGAGCCACGAACTTCTCGTCGATGGCCACAAACTCGGCGAAGGTGCCGAAGCTTGAGAGCGGCGCCATAGCGAAAATGGCGTCGCCCACCTTGAACTGGTGCGTGTCGGTGCCGGACTCGACGATAATACCGGCGACATCGAATCCCATACCGAAGGGTTTGTCAGATGAGGGTTGACGGCCGGTGACGACGAGTCCGAAGTCTTGCATGATCTTCTGGTCGAGTGCCGCGCTGTGGATCTTGATGCGTAGTTGTGTGGGCTTGAGCGGGGTCATGGACACGTCATTAGAGAGAAAGAGGTTGGCTTCTGGAGTACCATAGCTCTTGTATTCGTAAGCGCGATATGTGGCAGGTAAATGGGTTATCTTGGTCTCGATCTTGTTGCACGGAGATATGGTGGAAATTACAGCGACATTCACGGCGGAATTAACAGCCATCTTTGTGGGTTAGCTGTTGACGTGGACTTTTGCGGAATGAGTGAGGTGCAGCGCGATGTGGTCAAGGAACCCAGGACTCAAAGTACACGTTTGAGCAATCGATGACGCTTTAGCCGCTTGTTGCATAGATCGGCAGCATGTCTACAAAAGACGCACCTTCGCCACAGTCAACAATTTGCAGCAGCCCCACCATGAATCCAGCCTGCCACGTCGAGGCAACGTCTGTCTCAGATCTTGTAGACACCAAAAAGAAAGCTGAAGTTTTTCTGCTTGGTGGTGGAGTCACTATTTGACACGAAAGGACGTTAGTGATAGAGACACGAACGGTTTCACAAATGTAGACTCTGAAGGTGACTACAGTGAACATGCACTGCGTGCAGCTTAGTCGCTCACGTACTCGAGTTCAAATGCAGTAGCAGCTTCTTGAAAACCGTTAACTTAACTTAAATGAGCCCTACGATACGTTATCGATACCCCGGCAAGTCAAATGAGTGTTGTCGGTGTGTCTGCAGATGGGCGATGAGGTGCCGTAGATATGCGCGTACCTCTTGGTGATCGTGCGTGGCGCAGATTCCTTTACCCGATTGCTCAAATGAATCCTATCGTACGCACAAAGCTTGCATCCGATGGAGGACTTCTGTCGTGCTCATTCCCCAACAAACCTGCAGGTGCTAAAGACTGCAAACTGCTAAGATAATTCGCAAAGCATGACTGTCCAAGTGGCAGATCAAAGTATGGACTTTACATGCAGCACAAGCGTGCCCCCTGCCTACCGTGCCTATCAGTATAGTGCCTTCGGCACACCAAACACAAAGCTACATCTCTCCAAGGACGTGCCCATGACCCCGCTCAAGCCCACACAGCTACGCATCAAGATCCACAGCGCGGCACTCAACCCTGCCGACCAGAAGATCATGCAAGACTTCGGACTCGTCGTCACCGGTCGTCAACCCTCATCTGACAAACCCTTCGGTATGGGATTCGATGTCGCCGGTAGTATCGTCGAGTCCGGCACCGACACGCACCAGTTCAAGGTGGGCGACGCCATTTTCGCTATGGCGCCGCTCTCAAGCTTCGGCACCTTCGCCGAGTTTGTGGCCATCGACGAGAAGTTCGTGGCTCTCAAACCCAACAACATCACCTTCGAGGAGGCAGCTAGCATCTCGTACGCCGCGCTCACCAGCTATCAGGCGTTGCATGAACACGTCAACCTTAAGACGGGCGATCGTGTCCTCATCTTGGGTGGCTCCACCGCGACGGGATTGGCGGCCGTCCAGTTGGCGCGCGCCATGGGTGCGCACGTGATCGCCACGGTCAAAAGCTGTCAGGACCACCTTCTCGTACAGTCACTGGGCGCTGAGAAGGTCATCGACTCGTCCAAGCAAAGCTGGGTTGACGTCGTGGATGAGCACTCCATCGATGTAGTGTACGACTGTGGTGTAGAGCGGAAGGCGTGGAACCGCGATGCCCAGACTGTGCTCAAGAAGGACACGGGTCGTTTCGTGACCATCAACCCCATGATACAGCCGCGTCAAGCAAAGTTCGGCGTCAAGTGCATTGGCGAGATTATGGTACACGCAAGCGGTGCGCAGTTGAAGGAGCCGTCAGACTTGGTGTCGTCTGGCTCGCTGAAACCTGTGATCGACTCGGTGTATTCATTCGACCAGCTTCTGCCGGCGTTGAAGAAACTGGAGTCAAATTCAGTGCGTGGCAAGGTAGTGCTGCGTGCGGCCTCCTAGAAGGTATTCAAACACCGTCTTGGAGCGAAGTACATGTATTATATGTCAACGCTCTTTGGATACTACCGCCAAAAACGATAAATTCCCTATAACATCATCGACAATTTGAGTTGTTTTGTTTCGCAAGCACTGATCACGCTGCACCATCAGCAGATGTGCTCTCACTCAAGCTGAGTATACTGGCAATTTGCCAATACACGATGGCCTTGTGCTCTGATCACGACGAGCGTCACCCACACTACACTACTGTATTAAAGAATGAAACCATCCTACTTAGCGGCCACTGATTGTGAGCCAGCGCAAGCAACGAACAATGTCCGTAGTAAACAAACTCTGATTCCGGCTCCCGATTGCCATTCTTCCGTTCCGCTGCAGCAGACGATCTCGACATCTGGAGCCATGGACGATAAATGCGCGTGCTTTGACGGCACACGTGAATACAAATTTCAACTGTTTGAGAGCGAACACAACAAGAGACGCGATCTGTTTGCTCCATAGCTGACAATGTCAGTGACATCGATGCAAGTCCTGCGTGGCTTTCCATGGCTTTGCGCTGTACAGTGCCGCCCAGACTGGTCCGCAATTCCTTTGCGAGATCGCCCATTCTCCTTTTCGCTACACAGGACGCAGTTCGTTTCCAACTGCTCATCATGGTCCAGCTCCTGCGCTCGATCGCTGCCGTGGCGTCCCTCGCTCTTGGCACGTCTGGTGTCAATGTTGTTGCCGAAGAATTGTGTTCGATTGCCCCCTTGTCGTACGCCACAGCAAAGACCGATTACCCGGACGTCGCGTTCGCCATTAGTACCGTGGAGAAACACTCCATTGCTGCCTGGTACACGGATCGTCTATCGACGGCCGACAGAGCCAAGATGCTCAAACAGATCACTACGAAATGCTCTGAAGACTCACGGATGACCATTGTCGTTTATGGTATTCCGAACAAGGATTGCAACGCCGGATTCTCATCCGGAGGCGCCGTCTCCAATACCGCCGACTACAAGGCCTTCCTGTCGGATCTGACCACCGCTGTCGGTGACCGGAAGGTGTTGTATGTCGTAGAGCCTGATGCCCTTGGTCTCCTCGCCGAAGACAATGGCTGCGGCTCCAAGGCTGGATACCTTGACAACCTCAAAGTTGCAATTAAGGCTCTTTCCGCGAATGCCAACGCCGAGTTGTACGTGGATGTTGGCTATTGGACTCTTGAGTATGAGGGGCAACGTTCCAAGGTGGTCACTATCATGAAGGAGCTCGCTGCATCTGGCACTCTCAAGGGTATCGCCATCAACACGTCCAACTACCGTTCGACCTCCCAGATCTCCGAATTGTGCTCGAACTTCCAAACTGCTATGGGTTCGAAGAAAATGTCTTGTATAGCCGATACAAGTAGAAACTACGTGTAGGCTCTGCCGTTTCTGTGGTTTATGGGTATATCATGTACTGACAGTTGTCCTATGTGTCTTGCACAGTGCGCCCACAACGACGGATTGGTGCAACGTTCTGGCGGCTGGTATCGGAGCGCCTCCCACGTCCGAGACGAACGTATCGAATTTGGACTACTTTATGTGGATTAAGCCCCCTGGAGAGAGTGACGGCACGTGCAACGGTGGACCTGCGGCCGGTTTGTTCTACGAGACGGCCTTCCAAAAGCTATGGGACCAGGGCTACTTCGTCAACAAACTCGGTATGAACACGATCAAGGAGGGCGGCTCCACCTCTCAAACCACATCATCTCAGACGACGGATAGCGGCGACTCAGAGCAGACTACGGAGACCAACGCCTCCCAGACGACAGACACGACTTCTTCTGAGACGACGGATGGTAGTGAGACCCAGACCACGAACGATAGCGCCACCCAGGATACAGAGGACTTTGGCAGTGCCACAGAGGAGACGGACACTACGTCGTCTCAGATCACTGAAAGTAGCGCGTCTCAAGGAACGCAGGACGGTGGAAGCGCCTTGGATGAGCCCGATACGTCGTCGTCCGAGACAGCTGAAAGTAGCGAGTCCCAGGGAACGGAAAGCAGCGCATTCGAGACCACAGACCCGCCGACGGAGCCACCGACGGAGGCGCCGGCTACGACGACCGAGGCTCCTGTAGCCCAAACGAGCAACTGCAAGGTTCGGCGCCGTTTCCGTAAACTCTAAGTTTTGACTTGAGCTTCGTCGTCTTGGGCTCCTCGTTCGTCTAGTGAATTTGTTTTAACATTCGTGAGATCATAAGTGCGTTCATTGTCATATCCGGATATAATGACTAAAGCATGGCTTTTGTGAAATGAGTAAGAAAATGATTACCATTTTCGTTAACCTCCGTCAAGACTCATCGGAGTGAGCGTTCTTGATACACGCCATCAATGATTTCGTGACGCCTGGAATAATTTGCCTGAATCCATTTGAATCTGATTTTGCAGCTTGGTCGGCCTAGGTCGCGCGCAGCAGCAACCTCGCCTGTGGACGGCCTGTACCATAAAATAAATGTATTACAGTGAATTTTGCACAGCAGTAGTAAGAAAATGAAGCTCTGTAAAATATTTTCTACTACGTACAGTAGTACTTCGAAGTAGTTGATAATATTGATATTATACTATATTTTTATGATTATTGATTGCTGCCGATCTCGTTAATTATTGCTATTCTTTGCATTTAAAGGCGGTTGCTGTACCCGTTTCTTGCTACAGCAAGTCTTTTGTCTCAGAATCAACGGTTGTTAATGATGGAAAATATCATCACCAATCTATCCAGCTATTATTAATAGTACCCATGTATCTGCCAATCGAAGCTATTTTCGCTCAAAAATTACGTGGCGACCGCATTTTGATGCTGATACATGTAGTATTGGAGGCACCTTTACAATTTTACAGAGGATATTACTCATAACTTTATTATTGCTTTTTCTTCTCAGCTGCTTTTAGGGATGAGCCTGACACGGGGTAATGAATGCTTAGTACTCCCGTCCTTATTATAGTACTACTTAAGTACATGTTCAGCTAACTTTTTTTTCTTAATTTGATAAGGTGGCTTTCAAATTATAAGTTCTGGAAGTTGATGGCCGTACTTGTTCTTTGTTTCTCAACAAAGTCTGCTCGAAAAAGCCTGGGAAAACTTGTTTGAAATAGCACCATGGAAATATTTAATTATTTTGCTAATGGCAAGCGTGAATGTTAATGTTGAAAAAGGATCACCAAGACCTCAATATCCTGAAATTTGTGGGCTTTGGCATCCAACCTCCTGGTCGAACAAAATAATTTTGTGCGTGGTTCCTGTAAGCGGGGCGTCGCTCTTATAATAGCTTCGGGGTCTGCCATAATATTTATTAATATTAGTACAAGCCGATTGTTCAAAGCTTTGGCGCTAAGAAGAAAGATAAAGAGAGCAATAGTCTAATATTCTAAAATGCAAGGTTTTAATCCGATCCATCATTTCCATAAAATAATTGCTACCCTCTCTTGCTTTAGATTTTTTTAGCTGAAATGCGATCAGTTGTCCATGCAGATAAATAAGACAACATTACATTACGATACCAGTTACGCGTAACCAGGTTGATATTCAATGGGGAGTTGGAATTCCCTTTCTTAAAGGGAAAATGTCGACTCTGCTATTGGCCACTGCTACTCGTAATAGGCTAGACCGCAGCATTTCGAGCAGTGGAATCAATGTGAATGTGCCGAGCTTTTCAAACGACCATAGCTACCTCCGCTTTCTTGTTCCGCACATTATAATCGTCGTTGCTAAAATGTTAGAACTCTGCAATTTGTGAAAACAAAATACTTTGTATTTCAGTATTTTGAAAAAATGAAACCTTTTAGTTTTTTTTGAGCAAATATTAATCCATGTACAGTCGAGTTATCGACATAAGAAAACGCATTTTTTATGGGCGTTAGATGGTCTACATACAAGTACGCAATACATTCGAAACAAAGCCGCAGCGAATATGATCATCCACACAGTAAAGTCGGCAGGTTTGGATATCAGCAACTTCACTGTTACACGGCTATCACGGAATTCGTAAACCTTTTTTTAATTAAGCTAATTAATTTTCACTATTGTCCACCAATGCATTTCTTTTTAAAGCAGATACGCGGCTACTGGGCAAACCCTGCTGTTGTTTAATAAACAACTTGTTAAGCAGCAGATATTAATAGCGATGTGCATTCGACGCTTCGAGAGTTTCAGACGTATCGAAAACTGAGCGGACAAGTCCAAGCAACTGACCGTGCAGTTGCCGATAATGGAGTAAGTTCTTTGCGTGACAGCAAGAGCAAGCATTCATGCCCTTCAGCAGTTGCTCGCATGAAAGAAGAGGCAGGCGTCGTGACTCGTTACTGTAGCCATCTGTACTTACACAATATTCGTACCCCTTGGTCGTATCCCGAATAATAATCGAAGGCTCTTAAGCGAGGAGGATTTAATCCGCCAAATGGTCTCGGTAGAGAGTCACTCACTTTCTTGCCGTCCTCGAAAATGTCATCAGCATTCGGTGTCTGCTTTCCAATGTCTGTTGCTCGAGCTCACGGAGGTCGATTGGTCATTCTGCAATTCGCCTGGTGCCTACAACAAGTTATAACTCGAAGCCACTACCTGCAGGATGTTCCTCGGTTCGAGCTCGCGCTTGATCGCTGCAGCCACCGGACTGGCACTAGCGATGACAACCAGCCTCGTCCTCGCTGAAGAGCTGTGCTCGATCGTACCGAGCTCGTACACCCGCGCCAAGAGTGATCACCCCGACTTGTCGAAGGCTCTGGAAGCTCTAGAGCAACACGCAATTGCATCTTGGTTCACGGATCGCATGACCAGCGATGAACGATCGACTTTGCTGTCCAGTATGCTCAACCAGTGCTCCGAGGACACACGACTCAGTATCGTTGTCTACGGTATCCCCAACAAGGACTGCGATGCTGGGTTATCCTCGGGAGGAAGCGTGAAGAGCACGGACGACTACAAGACCTTCTTAAAGCAGCTAACAGACGCTGTTGGCGATCGCAAGGTTCTCTATGTGGTGGAACCCGATGCTGTTGGTCTTCTGGCTAAAGAGAACAGCTGCGGTTCGTCAGCAGGGTACCTCGACAACCTCAAGGTCGCAGTCGAAGCCTTGTCTGCAAACGCCAATGCTGAGCTGTACGTCGACGTCGGCTACTGGATGCTTGCCGACTCGTCGAACGCAGCCAAGATTGCTCCGATCATGCATGAGCTCGCCTCTTGTGGTCGTGTCAAGGGTGTGACCATCAACACGTCGAACTACCGTTCCAACGACGAGTGTACGACGTACTGCACGAACTTCCAAACCGCGATGGGCAAAAGCGAGATGTCCTGCGTTGTGGACACTTCGAGAAACTTCAACGGCTCTCCTACGAGTGACTGGTGCAACGTTCAGACTGCTGGTATCGGCAAGCCACCTACGTCGGAGACTGGTCTCTCGAATATCGACTACTTTATGTGGATCAAGCCGCCTGGAGAGAGTGACGGCGAGTGCGCCACGGGTGGAACTTCAGCTGGGTCTTTTTACGCAGATGGCTTTACCAAGCTTTGGGACCAAAGTTACTTTGTAAGCGAAGGAGGCATGAAGACGATTGCAGACGGCACGGGCGACGTGACACAGCAGACCAACCAGACTACGGCAGGCAGCAGTGTGGACCAAACTACCTCTGTAGACCAAGGTGCATCTGGTGTCGGCACTGTTGCTCCACATGATACCGGTTCGTACCAAAGCTCGACACCGACAACTGCTCCGGCTAATAGCCAGAACAATGCAGGCACTCCAGCTCCGACACAGGCATCGACCCAAGCACCAACACAAGCTACTAGTACTCCGTCAACAACGCAGGTTGCCGAGGGTACGAAGTGCAAGGCAAAGCTTCGAAGACAATAAGTGTAAGATGGATAGAGGATCTTTTCGTATTGGTAAGTGTAAGGGACTGTGCTTATCCAGGCACACCAGTAGAAGTCTTGTGAATAGAAACGAAACGTGTTGCGTGTAAAGAGCTTACTTCATCAATTCACATTCCTCCACACGGGAATGTGCTAGCTGCTAAAGCTAAACTAGATTTAATGATACTTGACCCTTCTGTCAGCCATTCGTGAAAGATACGTTGATACCGAGCATGTGATAGTTATCGAGCGCTGTTGTCGCATCGTCGAGTCAAGTGGTGACTGCCAGTCATCCAGATCCTTGAAGCGCTGTCCATCGAAATGCCTGTAAAAGATCGCTACAAGTCAGCGCTATCAAAAGTATCCGCAATCGAAGCGAAGAAATTCACCGGCATTAAGGAAGGGTTGATATTTATAATAATAGCAATGCTCTTATCGCCAGCAGCAAAGTGCTCCACCATCGTTAGCGTTTTGCAAGCACCTCAGCGCCATCTGACAGAGGATGTGGCGCTAAGAGTGAAGCTGATGGTGTTGAGTCAAGTGGGACGTGCCCGTGTTTTCGCGCCGTCTATCGCGACGGTACGAAATCAGACGATCGCCTGCATCTTGGTGTGGCGGACGGATTCCCGAAGGACGGACTTGCACGGATACCCATTCGGACAGTGCCCACCGGATGGCGCTACGATAGCTGCAGATCCTCCCATCAGCCTCACTATGGTGGCATCACCTGTAGTATCAGACGCATGACCGTCCGCCCTGCTCAACCTGCTCCTGTGCGCTGCATTTGTCCATTCTACAATTTGCCTCGAGCAGCTCAGTTGGTTGTTTACTCCACAAACTTACAAGATGGTTAAGCTCTTCCGCACGCCGCTCGCAATGGCTGAGCTGGCCTGGTGTTGCTACCAGGATGCGGCCTCCGCGGAAGATCTGTGCTCCATCGCTCCGTCCTCGTATTCCGGAGCCAAGACGGCGTATCCGCAGCTTGCAACCGCGCTAGAGACAATGGAACAGTATTCCACGGCTGCTTGGTACACGGATCGACTGTCCGACTCGGACAGATCTACCATGCTGTCCAGTATCACAAGCCAGTGTTCCGAAGACTCTCGTATGACGATCGCAGTGTACGGCATTCCGGATAAGGATTGCAATGCCGGACTCTCGTCGTCTGGAACTGTGCAGAGCACCAGCGACTACCAGTCATTCCTCTCGCAGCTGACAACTGCCGTGGGCGACCGTAAAGTGCTCTACATTGTAGAGCCCGACGCCGTGGGTCTACTCGCCAACGATGGCTGTGGTGGGGCGGCTGGCTATCTTGACAACCTCAAGGTCGCTGTGGCCGCTCTGTCTGCAAATTCGAACGCAGAGCTGTACGTGGACGTAGAGTACTGGCTGTTAGCCGACTCAACTAACGCGGCGGCGGTGGCTACCATCATCAACGAGCTAAGCGCCTCGGGAACACTCAAAGGCGTCACTATTAACACGTCGAACTACCGCTCCAACGATGAGTGCACCACGTATTGCAACAATTTCCAGACAGCAATGGGATCGAGCACGATGACGTGTATCATTGATACCAGCAGAAACTACAATGGATCACCTTCAAGTGACTGGTGCAACGTCAAGACTGCCGGGATAGGCAAGCCGCCTACGTCGGAGACGGGGATCTCGAACATCGACTACTTCATGTGGGTCAAGCCGCCCGGAGAGAGCGACGGCGTCTGCACGGACACGTCGTACTCAGACGAATCGTTGACGGGCGTGACGGCCGGCACCTTCTACAAGGAAGGCTTCCAGGCACTCTGGGACCAAGGATTCTTCGTCAGCGAGAAGGGCATGGCCACAATCTCCGGTAGTAGCAGCAATAGCACGAGCCAGACCAGCACCCAGACCAGCACCCAGACCGGAACTCAAACCGGCACCCCGTCAGCCACCCAGACGACGGGCAGCAGTTCGGATCAAACCTCCTCGGTTGGGCAGGATTATGATACCCAGTCTCAAAGCGGCACCCCGTCAGCCACCCAGACGACGGGCAGCAGTACGGATCAAACCTCCTCGGTTGGGCAAGATTATGCTACCCAGTCTACAGCCGACACGGTTGCTCCGGCAGACACCGGGTCGTCCCAACTCACTACAGCGCCAGCCGCCACGCCAAGTCCGACTCCGACTGCGCCACCTACTGCGACCACTTCGACCACTTCGTCGACAAGCTCGTGTAAGATCAAAAAGCGTCTGCGCAAGTTGTAGGTGAACGTTTCGTGCAGTATTTGTTTGTGGTGTGTGAGCTTCGACCACCAGTGGAGATTCTCCAAATGTAACGTTACTGTCGATGTGTGTGTCTCGAAAATACAAAGCTACATTTAAACTTGATTGACCGAGAAGTGCTGAATGTATCCAGACAGCATCTTGTAGCTAGATCTTGAAGCTACCGAGTAACCTTAGTTATGAATTACTCTTTGTTATCAATTACACTTCAATGTGGCCAATCAGAAGCCGCCAAACGCTGAGTGGGAAAAGAAGCCATGCATCCTTAGTTATCAATTACACGGCTTGACAACCAGTAATTTGCGTACATTATCTAGTACTGGTCTCACTTCTCAAAGCCGCAGATGAGCCCAACGCAACGAAAACGCCCAAAGGGGAGGCCTCGCCTACCTGGTGGCAAGGGCCGCCAAGCACCAACGAACACCATTACGGCGTACACTGCTTCTCACAAGCTGAGGGTACTAGAGTATCTAGACAAGAACGGTAGTATTGCGTCCGCAATTCACACGTTCTACCCTGATTTACCAGCTAGCAAATTTAATTGCCGCCGTATCCTCATTTATTCATGGCGTCGATCCCTCTGATGATCTTTTTCGTGAACTTGCTCAAATTTAAATGTTCGAAGATACCGATAGCCGGGACACGCAATTTCTGGTCTCTGCACTGCAGATTGGGTGTAAATAAGTTACCGAATTACCTTAGTTATTTAAAATAACTAAGGTAATTCGGTATTGTAACCTGCTGTTTGTTCTCATCCTGTTGAGCTTGTAGTTTTTTTTCAATAAATAATTTAGCTATAATCACCACAGGTAAAAGCTAGCTCGAAACCTGCGATCGAAGGCCGAGACCGCGAATCTCACGTGTACCATTACCCGAACTCATGACCTGTTCCATCTCGTAAAGCTTCACCATGTGGTGTCGGCGAAGTGTCTCCTAACTGCGTCTCCAATAGCGTAGTGGAGACTTTTCAGTGGAAGAAACGGTCTCTAGATTTCGATGCGTTCAGTCACACGGGCTATTTCAAAATAGATGAGGAGGAATCGGTGGAGCGCCGAGAAACAGTCGAGTATCGGTCAAGTATCACCGAACTCGAGTGCAGCATCGCACTATTCGCGTTTCATCGAAGTCGCTGCTCCAGCAGATGGCGCTTGAACTCAACTCGCATGTCCCTGGTAGCAAGGCGAGGAATGCTGCAGCGCGTCTACACTGACGGAACATCGGGCAAGTTTCGTCCGGTGAAAACCACCAGAAGTGGAGGCTCTAACAGCACTTGGTGTCAAGCTTCGCATCGTCGTCTTGTTCACCACTCGGGATGGTTAAGGTCGCCCACGCCCCAATTCCTCACTCTGCATCTTGCCAAGCGCGACACAAACACCTTCTGAAACACGTGAAGCTGCCGCAACATGCGCACGATCCTACACTCGCGTTTAGCAGTCACCGCCGTGTCCTGCATGGCACTCACCTTGTCTTCAATTGGTCTCTCAAGTGCCGAAGAACTCTGCTCCATCCCACCGTACTCGTACACGGGAGCCAAACAGAGTCATCCGGAGCTTACGACTGCTATTGAAACATTGGAAAACTACGCCATCGCTTCGTGGTTCACGGATCGCCAGAGTACCGATGAACGATCGACCACAATTTCCGACATGCTCAGCCAGTGTTCCGAAGATACGCGCCTCAGTGTCGTGGTCTACGGCATCCCTAACAAGGACTGCGCTGCTGGGCTGTCGTCCGAAGGGAGCGTAAAGAGCACAGACGACTACAAAGCTTTCTTACAAGAACTCACGGACGCTGTCGGCGACCGCAAGGTGCTGTACGTGGTTGAACCGGATGCGTTGGGTCTGCTGACACAAAACGGCGGATGTGGCGCATCGGCTGGTTATCTCGATAACCTCAAGGTGGCTGTTGCTGCCTTGTCCGCTAACGCCAACGCTGAGCTGTACGTTGATATTGGCTACTGGATGCTGGCCGACAGTGCAAGTAAGGTGGCTACTGCAATGAAAGATATCGGTAGTTCTGGTCGTGTTAAGGGCGTGACGATCAACACGTCGAACTACCGCTCCAACGACGAATGTGCTGGATACTGCACCAACTTCCAGACTGCCATGGGATCTACCGATATGAAATGTATTGTCGACACAAGCAGAAACTACAATGGCTCTCCTACTAGTGACTGGTGCAACGTCCCTACTGCCGGTATCGGTAAGCCGCCGACGTCGGAGACCGGCATCTCGAACATTGACTACTTCATGTGGATCAAGCCGCCGGGAGAGAGCGACGGTGAGTGCCCGACGGGAGGAACTTCGGCAGGCTCCTTCTACTTGGAAGGCTTCACACTTCTGTGGGATCAAGGATACTTTGTCAGCGAGCAGGGTATGTCTAAGATCGGCGATGGATCGGGCACCCCAGCGGGCACAGCGTACCCTACAAGCTTAAGTACCGGTAGCTCAAGCCAGAGTTCGACTGACCAGACCCCACCGTCGCCCACCCCAACTACCGATAACTCGAGTTGGAATCAGGAACAAACTGCGGGGACCGTCGCTCCAGCCGACACTACGCCGGCCACTCAAGAAACGGCTACGCCTTCCATGGCGCCTGTACCAGAGTCAACAGCATTATCCACTTCGATTCCGGTTACTATGACGCCGTCTACTACGGAACCCGTCACAGAGGTACTCGTTGTTCCATCGCAAATTGCTTGCAAGGCAAAAAAGCGTTTACGCTCGCGCAATTAAGATTTTTGTCAGCTCAAATTCTTGAATGCGTCTAATTCGAGTGAGTAAACTGTAGGTTGAAAAGTGATAAAAGCTCTTTTTTGTTTCGCATTACGCAAATTTTGGAGAAAAAATGATTAGTCTTTCGGATTTCATTCCGAAAGAATTCACTGACTTTCGGGATTCACCTTGATCACCAGTTTACCACGCGAGTGTCTTCCCTTGAGCTTCGTCAAGGCCGTGTGAAGTTTTTCAAACTCGTATACGGTGTCAATAACGGGGACGATGGTGCCTTTTTCCAGGTACGTCGCGATCTCTTCCAGACCCTTCGCAGTCGGGTACACCAGTATGTTACCCAAGTTCTTCGCGCCAAACTGTGCAGACTTCACAGGCTCCGTAATCGGTAGAAGCGACACAAAGCGTCCAGTATTCTGCTTTAGAGTCAACTGCGCGTCTGAATTCCACGCGTCCGCTTCCATGCCGCAGTCGTAGATCACATCCACCGAGTGTGGATCGAGTTCCTGTACCCACTTGTGCGTATGGTAATTGATGACGCGGTCCGCGCCAAGACCCTTAGCAAAGTCGGTGTTCTTGGCACTCGTGGTTGTGACCACACGAGCACCAATGGCGTGCGCTAATTGGATAGCGAACATCCCGACGGCGCTGCTACCGCCGAGAATGAGCACGTTTTCGCCCTTTTGGAGCTTCGCATGCTCCACGAGAGCTTGATAGCTGGTGAGTCCGATCAAAGGGATGCTAGCAGCCTGATCAAACGTTAAGTTCTTGGGCTTTAGAGCCACTAGATCCTCGTTGAAGACCGCGTAGTCGGCCACAGTGCCACATGCGTCAAACGGCGTCATGGCGTACACCTGGTCGCCCACTTTGAGTCGCTTAGCCTCGCTCCCGACTTCCACGACGGTGCCGGCCGCGTCGAACCCGATGCCGAACGGCTTCTCAGGCGTCGGCACTTTGCCCGTGAAGGCCTCGCCGGCCTGTTCCAACAAGATGTAGTCGATGGGATTAATGGCCGCGCTGGTCACTTTGATACGCACTTGGTTGGACCCGAGCTCTGACTGCTTCACAGACAGACGGAGCTTAAGCTCCTGCTCCTGTGGACCGTAGTGATCATACTGGTACGCGCGGAACGTCTGAGCAACGGGCATCGCTGTTCTTGGTCGACTTCGAGCCAGCGAAGCGATAATTTGAAGAATGAGCTTCGTTAAGATTTTGTGCGTGCGTTTTTTTCATACGGTACGGTAGTGCATTTGCTATTTCCAGAATGAAGTAACAAATTAAGAAATTGCTACTGACTCAGAATCCTTGATTAGGAAGGCTTGTCATAATTATCAGGTTTACTTTTCACAGCGTGCACGTCCATTTTCTTTATGTTAAGCGAGCTCATAGTCCTTTCTCTAGAGGATGTTGGAGTCTCTAGCTGGTGTTGTCCTAATATGAGGGCGGAAGTCCACAATGGTCGTCGGTAGCGGGGCCAACGCAGACAGCTCCGGCGTCTTAGCTGCGTTAACCATCTTCTTCTGTCGGCGACGTATGCCCACAATAACAGCGAGAGCCACCACTGCGGCAGCCACGAGCGCGATAAAGATGATCACTCCCGTCCCCATTGTCGAGGTACGTGAGCTCTCTGTCGAGACCTGCTGTGCCTTTGACACTGGGATCGGTGATGCAGGGGTCAACGCTTGATCCGTCGTCTCAGTACTTGTTTGAGTGGTACTCGACTTATAGTATTTGGTCTGGTCGGCGTCTGATATCGTAGTAGAAGGCGCACTTTCGCTAGTCTTTGACGAGTTCGGTGGAGCGGTTGCATTGTATGTGACCGCTTGGCGCTCCTCGTTTTGGTCCTGGCTCTGCTGTTCCTGGTTCGCCGATGCCGAAGGTGTTAAGCTGCGACCCATGCCGTCGATAGAAGGGTATCCCTTCTCGACAACCAAAATTCCCTGGTTCCAGAGCGACTGGAACAGTTCGTTAAAGAACACACCAGCGCCTGGACCGGGTATGGAATCAGCTGTATGACCTTGGCATGTGCCGTCACTGACGCCCGGCGGCGTGCCCCAAAGGAAGTAGTCCACATTGCGGATCCCTGTTTGATCGGTGGGGAGCGCCCCAATTCCCGCACTCTTCACGTTGCACCACTCGTTACTCGAAGGTCCACCTGTTGTAGACAAACGCGCTTAATTTAGTCGAGTTCCACGCAACTTCACTCATCTCAAACCCACCATTTCTATTGCGGGAAGTATCGAAGATACAGTGGAGATCTGTGGAGCCAATTGCGCTCTGAAAGCTGCTACATAGTGTCGAGAGTTTGCTGGATGACTGATAGTTGAAGGTGTTGAGCGAGATGCCCTTCACCTTCGAACCAGCCGTCGCAAGCTGCTTCACAATATCGGTCACGGCGGTAGAGGTTGCTGGATTCTCGAGAGTCTGATTGCCCACGTCCAGATAAATCTTCGCGTTTTCGTTCTGGGACAGTAGACTAATCGCCGTCTGTAAGTTGGCGAGGTACCCGGCACTTTGGCCACAAGCTGTGGTGTCCGCTAAAAGTCCGATGGCATCTGGTTCGAGGATATACAACACTTTCCTCTTGCCGATAGTTGACGTAAGTGTGTTGAGAAATGCCACGTAGTCCGACGCAGACTGCACGGTACTACCCACCGCCGATTCCTTGGCAGCGCAGTTTTTGTTGGGTAGGCCGTGAACTACGACGCTGATCCGCGAGTCTTCGGGGCAGGATGACACCAGGTTGGCAGCTGTCTGAGCATAGTCTCCGTTATCTTTGCGATCCGAATACCAGGTCGCAATACCATATTTCTCCAGCGCTTCGATAGCGAATGCCGACGCTGGGTACGCGGTTTTGGCCTTTGCGTAGGTCACTGGCGGCAGGGAACACAATGTATCAGCTTGGACAAGTCCCGTTGCTGCTAACGCCAGCAGGAATGCGGCTGAGCGTAGCATGACCTAAGAAACAAACGCTACGCTGCACGGACAGTTCGAGCAGCAAAACAGCGAGTGCTCAGAGTACTTTGGTTCGTCTGAACTGCAAGAAGGTCAAGTCCGATGGAAGAACGCTGCCACCATCATGAAATACGATCCTGGCCAATCCACGGACACAAGATATGACCCGCGCCCAGATGGAGGTCGCTGTGTCTGCAGCTGGTTCATAATCTCGAACCGTACAACAAGACAAGCTCATGGTTTCATGCGGTCACCGTACCGGTAACGCCTTGGAGCTCTCAATTTGAGCGCTTGAACAACAAGGGAGGGTGCTTTCAATACGATGCCGACGGACTCTTTGTGGCCGAGGTAGTAGTACATGTGCATGTCCTGTAAAACGACGCTCACTTGCTTCCGATAATTCTTCAGATGTCGAAGATGGTCTAGACTGGACTCCAGTCCGAAGCCAGAAAGTCAGTGTCGGATTTCCCGATTCAGCTAGCAAGCATCGCAGCGATCTCAAAAATGCCAAATTAACAAAACCGTGGATATACCACCGGCACGGTGGGAAATATGTGCATTGGGGTGGTGTCTACCTCTCTGTCTTTAATTCAGTGCGTTGAATACAAAACTCGCTACTCGAACTGGAGAAACTACGTGAGAGGTACGCCAACCTTATCCAATTGGGTTAGCCTAGACGAACAGACCTCATACAACGTGACAAATCGTCACGACCCGAAAGGCATGTCCGGCATCTTATAGGATCGTGCTGCCGCCAGCAGGCGTGCGCTTAATCTCGATGTGGATGTTTTCGCTGTCGCCGGGGGTCTCAAGCGCGGCGTCCGCGTCACGAGCCTTCTTCACCTGCGCAGCGGCAACACCGACAGCGGCCACAGCGGCCACAGTGCCGACGAGCGCGAGGCCGATCGTGCTGGTGCTGGTGCCATCGTTATTTTCGTTGCCCGACTGAGTGTTGGCCTGCTGAGCGGTCTGCTCAATGTTGTCGCTGCTCGACTCCTGGGTGGTCGAGGCGGAGTCGTCTGCCTTCGAAGCCGAGCTCTCCACGTCGGTCGAGGTGGTAGCGGCAGGTGTCACGACGGGGCCCTTCGTCGACGTCGGCGTCGTAACAGCCGGAGTCTCTGCGGGGGTCGGCGCTGTCGACGTAGGTGTGGTAACAGCCGGAGTTGCCGCTGGGGTCGGTGTCGTAGCGGCAGGGGTAGCAGCTGGGCTCTTGGTTTCCTCGGTGGGGAAGTTCGGGTTGCAGTCCGAAGCGTGAGAACCCTGCTCAGCCGTCGGTGTAGTCGGTACAGGGGCCTTTGTTCCCGTCGTAGGGACCGAGGGTGTCTCCGGAGCGGGAGTCACAGCGGGGGACTCAGTGCCGGTCGTAGGGACCGAAGGCGTTGAAGGGGTCGACGGAGTCGAAGGCGTTGAGGGTGTCGTCGGCGTGGTAATGGCCGGAGTGGAAGCAGGCGTAGCCACAGGGGCCTCCGTCTCCGGAGACGGCGTAGTGGCTGCCGGAGTCGAGGCCGGCGTAGCCGGAGTGGTCTCCGGGGATGGAGTAGTAGCGGCCGGTGTCACCTCCGGGGCTGGCGTAGTAGCCGCCGGCGTCACCGCCGGAGTCGTGGTGGCCGGAACCGTCGCGGTGGGGGGTGTCGTCACAACAGGCCCCTTGGTCGTCGTGTACGAGTCATCCTGGTTTCCACCAGTGGTCGGCGTGAACGAGCCGCCCTGCTGCAGGGACAGCGCTTCGTTGGAGAGTACGGCCACCAGCACGGCCGTGCAGACAGCGAACTTGCGGAACATCTTTGCTGTCGGGGTCTTTTTCGAGTCTGCTGGAGCGGAGTGGGGGGCAAGGATCCGCACCGAGTGCGTGGTCTGCAAAGGCGGGCTCGGTAAAAGTGCGAGAGCGCAGTCTTTGTCTACTCAATGGCCCTTCTTGCACGTCACAAGCGATTCAACGCCACGACGGTCGCGCTTTGTAATTGACATGTGGAGGAAGTCTGGCTCTGTGGAGTCCACATCTCGAGCTCTGCACGCTGGGCATAGCACAAGTTGCAGCCAGGAAATTGAGTCATGCATGTCTTCAACGCCATGGATATGAGACGTTAGATAGAGCGGTGGCCCATGTGGTGCTGCCGTGCGCAGAGTGTGTGGTGGTCCACCATTACTGGTGGGAGTACGCTCGCAGAGGAGGAGACCTGCATTCTTGAACTTCTCGGTGTTTCTTGGCCGGTACAGTATAAGCTCTCTGCGCAAGCGTACACCTCATTCGCTGGCCATTACAGCAACACTTCGGACTGAATCATGACGCCATTTTCAGGCTCAGGGCCAAGCCTCTGTCAACTACGGTATTATTGTACATCCTCGCGCAGGCCGGTCGGCTCCAGCGAAGGCGTATCGCACCCAAAATTGTCGTCAACCGCACACTAAATCTTCGAACTGAACGAGTTCACAACAAAAACTTAAAACAAATCTGTGACGAACCGTGCCGTGTCAAGCGTCACATCGTTCTCTTTTCGATTTCCAGTGGAAATTTTCCACCGAGAAGAACTAAGCTTTTGATAACCTTGTCAAAGTCACCCTTGTGTAATGGTTCACGTGTATGTGAAGTGGGTGGCCCAGGGCAGCGGCAGTCGGACGAGAAATCCACGTATGCGAACACTTACAGACAGGCGATAGTCATGTCGGCGCCGCCGCAAGTCGAGTGGCGTAGGCAACGTAGTTGCTGCTACAGAGTACAAATGAAGCGGGAAATCAGGGCCAGCAAAGTCAGATATGGTACTCAGGTCGAATGTGTCAGACCGTTCATGTATAAACTGACCACGCTTTGCATATCGAAATATTAGATAAAATAATGCCCGCAATCCGTGTTGAAACCTCTACTTGGCGAGAGTGCCATTTACATCGCTAGATACTTGTTCATTGACGTACAGTCAACCAGAAAATAGTCAATCCGGTGACAGCCCACGTAGCAGCCATCGTAGACGTCTGCGCAGCGCAGCCAGAAGTCTCAGCGTTCGGATCGTAAATAGTGTCCATTTGCTGAGTGTTCACAAAGTAGCCCTGGTTCCAGAGCTTAATAAAGTGGTCGTTGAAGAACTCACCGGCTGGGGGGCCATGCATAGCGTCGGTCGACTGATCCACGCACGTCCCATCACTATCTCCCGGTGGCTTCACGTACAGCCAGTAGTCGATGTTGTCCAGGTCCGTGGTATCCGTGGGCGGTGCCCCGATCCCAGCTTTCCTCACGTTACACCATTCCGTACTGGAAGCATTCGCAAATTCTTGAAAATTACGAGAGCTGTCGATCACGCAGTGCATGTCTGTTGACCCCACCGCCGTCTGGAAATTCGTGCACAGGTCCGAAATTTGCGTCGTTGAACGGTAGTTCGACGTGTTGAGCGCGATACCCTTCACACGACCACTCTGCGCTAGTTCCTTGACAATCTGAGCCACTATACCCGCCGTATCTGACCGTTCTAGAGTCCAGAATCCAACGTCGAGGTAAATCTCGGCATTCGGGTTTTTCGATAAAAGCGTGATCGCAGTGGTCAGATTGCTCTGGTATCCGTACTCTACCGCGCATCCCTTGTTTGCCAGCAAGCCGACGGCATCCGGCTCCAACACGTAGAGGACCTTGCGTTCGCCAACAAGTTCTGTCAGGTTGGTGATAAATTCTTCGTAGTCCTCTCCAGTCTTTACGGTACCGTTCCCGTGTGAATACCCTGCGTCGCAGTCCTTATTCGGTAGTCCGTAGACTACCACGTTCAATCTCGAGGACTCTGGGCACGTCGTGACGAGGTCCACAGCAGTTTGCGTCGCGTTGCCATTGACGTCTCGGTCGGAGTACCAGGTAGCGATGCCTAAGCCCTCGAGATGGCTCAGTGCGAAAGCAGAGTCCGGGTGTGCCACCTTTGCGTCTGCGTACGTGACGGGTGGAAGCGAGCACAGCGTGTCGGCCGCACGACTTACGCTACTCACCCAACCAAGCACCACTAGGAACAACAATACCATCGAAATCATCGAGTCTGTAGGAAACGCGTTTGATGGTTGTCGACGCTTCTCGAAGACTGGTCTGCTCCTCCCTTGGGTCTGTCCAATTGAGACGAAGGTGATGACGGCGAGAGCATCGCTACTTGACCTGACGATGTGCCGACATGTACAGTCTATGAATTTAACACGACCATCATTTTGTAAAATATTGTTGCGATGGATGGCTTGAGCAGGTTAATGGTAACCCCAAAATCGGTGAAGTTAATATTGTGAAAATATCACCTGTATACCAGTTAATATAAAAAATATCACCTAATATTTTCTTCTGAGACAATATGATATTATTAAATGTCAACATAATATTAGGTAATACGATCAGGGGCTAATGGTAACCAAATATCATATGATATTTTTGATAGTAATAGTACTATTTTCGATATTAAATATTAATAGTAGCTCATTTTTGCAAAAGCTAACATAATATTATAATATTAACTTGAAGAACTGAAAAATATTAGATACTAACGGATGCGCCCGAATAAAAGCACCCTACCGAATAGTGTCCTGTGGGGTGGCACTATTAAATACAAGCCCCTCCTGAATAGAGTCCTTATAAAAACTAACAAATCTGCTATTACAAACTTGCTGACCATCCATTCTACAGAGAGAAACACTTTCCCGTCATTTCCAATAATGCCTCATCAAAGGCAGTCAGTTAGCATTGGGCGTAAGCAAGAGGTGATCAAGTGGATTAAAGATGTCGTTTCAAGGACCTACTGTACATGGAAATTAACGCTTGGAAAAAGTCAGACCGAGTCGAATACACTCGCTTTGGTAACCCACGTATGCCAAGTGTTGACACCGTTTGCGATTGGGGCCTCCGCGCGTGGCGAGACACGGATGAGGCAACAATCATGCGGAGCGTTGAAATAGCAGGCTTCTCGAGAGACCCCTCGTCGTGGTTTATATCCAAGCACGATGTGTAAGGCGCAAAATTTTGTGAAAAGTGGTCGAAGGAACCGCATTGAACGAAGACGTCGATCTGTTAAATCTTTCAGAGTTAGATGATGCGTTAGACGATATTAACCTGGTACACGAATCATTTCAGCAAGGAATAAAGTCCTTACCCGTTTAAAGGCCTCTCTGTCACTTTCGGGCGGCACTATAAAATATAGTCCGGACTCTAATAGGGCGCGTCCGCTACATGATATTTTATGATATTTTCCCACTTAAGTACGTTTCTTGCCACCTTACCCTCTGTGAACCAAATAACTTTTTCGATCAGGTTCTAAAAAAGCAGTAGGCTTTAGGACTGACGAGGATTTGCTCTAGTATTTCACTGTGACACAGACAAAGGCGATCGAGATGGAAAACTGCAAACGCTTGCAGCTGTTTAACGTTGATAGAGCGATATCAAGACATTTGTTCTTGTACTCTACCGATCTCCTCGTCCACATCGTGCGTCTATTAAACCTGCTGCCTGTGGCGCTAGATTAATGCGCTCGCAGTGCCAGCACACGACGCCAACCTTGCCGTCACTCTCACAATTGTCCCTCTCACGGTTGATTAGTAATACTTCAGCTAGTCGAGCGTTAACGACATTCTGATTAGTTAATTTAGCCCGATTGCGCAATCTTCGAAAAATATAATATCGTACTCAGGGGTTAATGGTAACTCCAAAATCGGTGAAGTTAATATTGTGAAAATATCACCTGTAGACCAGCTAATATTAAAAATATCATCTAATATTTTTTTCTGAGACAATATGATATTATTAAATATCAACTTAATATTAGTTAATACAATATTATATTTTTTAAAGATTGCGCAATCGGGCTAAATTAACTAATCAGAATGTCGTTAACGCTCGACTAGCTGAAGTATTACTAATCAACCGTGAGCCAATTCGACACCGGTATCAGTCGATACCCTGCCAGATTTTATGATTACGCGAATCGGATGCGCAATTACCTTTGCCCATCACCACCCTAGCAATTAACCTCAACGGATTTCTACTCCTCGCCGAGGGATGACACGCCGCATCGATCTGATTTTAAATTTTGGATCGGACGTCTTCATACAAACACACACTTTGATTTTTACCGCCAAAGACAATGGGACATCGCCCTTCCACCTACATGTCCCACAAAAGTAGTCTTTGTGCGAGAAGCACAAGTCAGACCTGCATGCTCTCACTCCGAGCTTGCTCGTTGGGCAACGGAGCGCTTTAAGACCCCCCGAGCAGTAAAGCGCATCACCGTCCAGAGTATTCTTAAGCGGTCCGCGGAAGTTGCCGCCTTGCCGGACGCCTATCGCGACCGGAAGCGCTGTTGCGCGCCCGCGATTCGCGCGTCTGACGCCAAGATTATGCTGAAGATTGGCGTAAATTGTGTACTGAATTAACAAATAAAATATCAGCGCACTGGATTTGCGTTTGTTTTTTGCTTTACGCTGTGCACTTATGCCCTGGCACTGTTGATATGGTCCGCCCTGTTTTAGGAAACACTAAAAAGAAGTTGGTGATTGGAGATCTGCCGTCGGACAGTTTTCATTGCTATAGTAATTCTCGGGGTGGGGCTCTTTGTTAATTTCGGGAGCTGGGTGACGAATTGAGCGAGCCCAAAATTAGAAAATCAGATCTCTCGAAAAAAGAAGCAAAGCGGCTTTGCCCGAAGTCTATTAAGCAACCCATTAAGAGGAGGTTTCCTTCACCTTTGCGCTGGGGTGTGCGTGCATAGCCACAAGGAGGTAGCGTGTTCTGCCACGCAATTATAGAGCTATGAGCCTACATAGAAGGAGATAAGGTTAATGATCCTGGTACTTCGAAGTATTATAATTTTATCGATTTGGCACGTAGGTTTTTAGTAGCTGTTCGAGTTGAAAAACGCGATTTCGCTAAGAAATAGTTTTTCCAAATAATTTGTATTAGCTCATGCTTCGTGGAAAACAAGTGTAAGTTTCAATATGGAAACCGAGGCTTTTGAGTTTTAATTTAAAATTTTGGTCTAAGACCTTAAACTTGAAAATCTGAAGAAAACAAATCCGCTGAAATAGCTGTTTGGCTTAGAATCTAGAATCGCGGTGAAAAACGATGTCCTGTTTAAATAAATTAGAGCTAAAATATATCAACGTATTTTAAAATAGAACACAGGTTCAAAAATGAATTTCTTCTTTACTGACCACTCAACTGACGAGTCAACAGCTTGAAGAGCCCATTGCCACCCACTTTACTTACTTACTATTGTGCCCTTTGCATTAAGATCAGTAGCGAGAGGCGAGGTTACAGCGTCAACGAAAAGCTTACTGATTTGGCGGACTACGAGGAAGGTGTTAAAGATCATGGCTTCGCAGATTTTAGCATAGACATGTAAGTACAATATTCCAGTGAAGACTATCCGAGGGTGGCACACCGCTAAAAGCAGCCGTTAAGAGCCGCCAGATTTTAAGCATGTCCCGGTGCCTCCGTCTTATTAATAGCGGGGCAGAGAAAAAACAGCGCGTTCAAAGGTCGAGGGAAGGCTTAGTAAGTGAGTTAAATCTCGTTTTGCAAAAGTACTTGGCGTCAACGATACATACGTTCGCCTACAGACCGAGAGCATCTATTAAGTAATGTATAGAGACAGCACTGCCGATTTTGAGGCCTCTTCAGGCTGGTTGTTCAGGTTCAAGAGGAGCAGAAATCCCGTTTCTCGCCGCCACACAACGCTACGATCGCTTCCAGCCGATGCACTCCTGATCTGCCGTGAATTCATTCAGCAGGCCCAGCACCTCATTGGTAAGTACAACATCAAGCCCAGCAGTATCATTAACATAGATGCAACTACTTTAGTAACACCAAACTACCCTTTTGTGAGCCAGCGTAAGACGCATGACCTATTTTTTCTCAACAAAAGGTTTGACGAGAAGAAGTATCGTATCTTGTTTTTAGTATGATCTGGGTCTCATTGAGATGGGACAAGTATTCGTAAGACGGATTTCCTACGCTGAAACGTATCCTATGGGGGGAAATGTGGCATACCATGGTGGCGATCTCGGGACCCTCACCCCGCGGCAAGACAGCACAGTTTCTCACTTTTCGGTATGTAGACATTAGAAGTCTTTAGATTAACCCACTTTGTCGGACATATGGCTTTGTCACAAGTTCGACAGTGTGCGTTTCAACAGCTATTTTAAGAGAACCGAGAGGCTGTTCATTGCTGGTAGTCTGATTTTAGCTTACAACAGTAGGAATTTAGCTCAAATGGGTGTGTTTCGGTTTGAGGAGAAGGCCGACAAAGTGTTGATGAAGGTCCTCAAGGAAGTTAAGCCATACAGCGCCAAGTATGGTCAAACTGGTAACGCTTGGGAGCTTGTTGCCAGGTGGGTCTTGGAAGCAGAGGGCCTCACCGAGCAGCTCAACACCAAGCCAGTTCAAGACCGCATCCGCACACTCAGGAAGAACTGGAAGAAGGGAGAGCTTAAATCCGCCATCGGTGGCGTCATTCAAGAATCGCTAGACGCTGCAAATGAATTGAGTGAGTACGAAACTTTGCCAGGACTAATAAATGAATATGTGCTTCTGGAAAAAGAATATTTTGAGAAGCGAGCTGCTGTATCGGCAAAGAAAAAAGCGAAAGACGCATGCCTGGATATTTGCGCTTCAGAAATTGTCGCGCAGAGTAACAGACGCAGAGCTGAGCGCTCTGGGGTCAGCGATGACACGGTATTTCTTGTGTCTGGCAGCGACATGGCTTCAAACACGAATGCCTCCATATATGCGACGTCTACGCCAGCAAAAGCAACCTCCGCATCCACAGCCTCCAGGTCCATAACGTCTACTCCAGCAAAGAACGCTGGCAAAAAGAGAATGAACGCATTTGTGGCTGAGACTGAGCGCTTAGAAAAGCGAGCTAAGGAAGCTGCCGACATGTAAATTTTGCAGGTTGAAGCAAAAATGAAGTGGCAAAAGCAGCAGCACGACGATTTAATGGCCCTACAACGGACTAAGGAGAAAGCAAGATCAAAAACGGAGAAACAGAACCGCGAGCTGA